CCCCCCGCCCGAAAACAAACTGGCATCATATTACATCCCTACCATCTCCATAACGGCTACCTCTGTACAACGGCCACTTTCATGTGTCCCCAAGGTGGCCGTTGTAAAAGAGGTTCGACTGTATATCGAATGTGACCTATTCTTTATGATATGTTATTTCTCCTCACAACGACCACAAGATCTTAAGAACAGAACAAATTGTTTCTAACTCCCAGCGAACAAAACGTTTTGAAGTCTAATGGTTCACAAACGCAAATATTGCTCGAGATGTTGATAACGGAGCGTGAAAGTACAAGGTTTGGAGACCTTTGGGGGCTCTCTTTTGAGGGCTTTCTGTTTGCATGGCTGCCACAAAAACAACTTCGGGAAACACGCAAAAACCAAAAACCGCGAGTTAAATTTATGATTTCCCGAAACCGGGCGATAATTGAAAGAACCCGCAAATGGCACTCAAAATTGGCCTACATGTAAACCGCTAAATCACTAGAGTATAAAAGACCCTCATACGGGATGAAAATACTTCCGCGGGAGCGGGATTTGCTCATTTTGACAGGCGGGATGGTGAAAAACAGAAAATCAAACGTTATGGACGTTATGCGTAGAACTGCAACTCAAACCAGGCGGGAATGAGATTGGGGCTAGACTCGAGTTCCAGCCGTTTTGTAAGCCTGCGTTCCTTGTCTCACACCACGTTGGGAGGAGGATAAACAACCGGACTCTCAAAATGGCTGGAAATTGAGCCTAGATTGGGGCGGGATGACGGGAAATTGCACATAGTTCATAAACTTGCTCGTAATTAGGGCCTATCATACAAGCAGAGAAGCTGCCGGAACACGTCAGTGAGATAACCAAGCCACGGTGACGTACTGCTTCACTGACTGAAGAGCTTGACTCTGGACATTGGGGTTCAAGCCCTGGCCATTGAGTTGTGTTCTTTATCAATGCAATTTACTCCCAACAGGTTCTCTCCAGCCAGGTGCATAAATGGAAACTGACAAATTTAATGTCAGGAATGGACTACCATCCCATCTAGGGTGGGTAGAAATACTTCCAGTCACTTTACTGTCCACACTTAAGGCCTATAATAATAATAATAATAATAATAATAATAATAATAATAATAATAGTAATAATAGTAATAATAATAATAATTATAATAATAATAAATATTTATATAGCGCCTATCCATGCCTGCTCTAGGCGCTGTACAATTCGCCAAAATGAGCTGTACTAATCTTAATAATTAAAAATGTGCATTTAAGAAAGTAATAAAAAGTAAGGATCGCTAAGAATAATAAGTCTTCTTAAAAAGATGAGTTTTGAGTTTAGATAAAAACACCAGGTTTTCCACAGGGCAGTACACAAACATGAAAGCTAATATATAGATTTAGCCAAGCCTAAAAGTGGCACTCCTGGGTCAGGTTATTCAAAGCCTGATTAAGCTAATCCAGGATAAGTCGGATAAGCAAGAATTTCCATTTCCAATTTACCTGCATATTTAGTGTACGGTCACACAGGACAGTCACACAGTACTGTCACACGTATCGAAAGAAGCATAATGTGAAAAGCCAACTGAAGGTAACAACTGATCCATTACAGACGTATAACATGAACAGCTCATAGACATTCTTGACACGACCCCTCACTCGAGACTGACAATCAACAGACTGCTGCTGTGCGGAGAATATACATTGATGATGGTACAATAAATACATGTATGCAACTCAACTTATTTCTGTCAGATTATTACGCTATATATATTCCAGTTCCTTACTTCAATTCAGATTGGAATTATTTTGAAACATTCGCTTTTGAGAAGGGAGGAAAACTAAAGAGAATCTAAACTATACCGTTTGACCAAGGAAACCGGCGAAACACAACATACGAGGAGCCCTGGGCACAAAGTCTGGTGGTAACATGTTTTTTTTCTGCAATGACCAATTTGTTGTTGAGTTGTTTTGTTCAATGACGTCATTACTCCAAACTTGGTGATTAAAGAAGCTTGCATAGTTTAAAGTTCAAAATTCTGCCACTTCATTGGGCATGCTCGATTTGTCCTGATCAGTCCTAATGCAATCTTCAGGGTAACGAAATGGCGGACCAAAAGAGTAAAAGAAAACTCAGAAAGAAATTCATAGTTTCATTTTTCAGCATCTTCAAATTACAACAGATCACCAGTTCTCCGATTTCAACTTGAGAAAGTAGGTTTAGCTTTTCGCCTCCTAACAATCAAGGTCTCCAAAGCTCCGCTTCTATGTGTTTCCCGCTCATCGCGTACCGAAGGAAATGGAAGGGCAATTGGGGCCGACAACAAAAAATCAATAATGTCAAAACACTTTCAAAAGAACTCAACTCTTTCCAAGTTTTACACTAAATTGAATGTGAAAACGTTCACTAGTGGTCCTTCATGATCATTTGTAAAGTACTACTGCTGTCATTTCTTGCTCTATTAGTTTTCTTCCATTATCATTGGTGCTAGACTCTTCCATCAAGAAGTCCCCGACCTCATTGTAAAACGCTTGGTCCGCCGTTCTTCGAAAATCTCTCTGATGGGTTAGAAAGTCGAGCAGAATGCTCCCTTCTTTCGAGGATTCGTCAAAACAGCAGGTTATGTCATAAAGGTATTTGGCCATCCACAGTTTCTCATATTTCCAGTTATTCTTCCTGGCAATATTAACAAGATCCACTTCAGTGTAAATCTTCTGAGCAGAGCCCAAATCTACTTTGTTGTGTAGCTTTCTTGACATCTTTGGGAAAAAAGATTCTTCCAGTACCACCGTACAGAACATGGCTCCACCACTAGCAAGCTTCTGATAGCAGTAACTCAGAGCTATTTCGGCGTCCATGTAATACACAGATGCGACAAAATGAATCATGTCAAACAAACTCTCCTTTTGGGGAAAACACTCGCTGAACTTCTGAAAGGTCATCTCGTGCCATTCGAATGAGACATCAGCCACACCTGCTAGGGACTGTGGTAAAGGGGAAACGGAGGTCTTGAATTCTTCTATCATTTCGGCGCTTGGTTCTACAACGACGGAATGTATGGCTGCTTTCTTCGTCCGGGAAGCTCCCAACGCTTTTGCAATGCCAGTAAGAATTCTAAGATCAGCTTTACCTTTCCCGCTACCGACTCCAAGTGCACGAAACACGGGGCTGCTTCTAAGCCCATCTTTCGTTATCTTGGTCGTCACATGAAAAGCGACTTCTTCTACAAAGTCCGTCATCGTCTTAGTGTACGTGGAATTCTTCAAGCAGACGTTCCATGTCGTGAGATAGAGGTTTTCTTTTGATGATGAAGGATCCATTTGAAGATGTTTAGCTCTGCCCGCCTAGCCTACATGTAACAAAGAGAATAGCATTACACATTGATATTATTCATGCATGCAACCAAGGCTAATTACATGCTAATTGACACTGAATCCTTCATGCTATTCATGGTATACGGCTGTCGCATTTCAGAAGATGGACATTACGTCGATTGACAATTGTTAGCTATAGTTCGGCTTTGAACAGTCTCTCTTTTGCTCAAAATCCGCGCGAGGAAGAACGCAAACGCATCGCGGTTTCGTTACTCGCCCCTGCTCGTTGGTTTGTGTTCTTCCCGCGCGTTTCATCAAGCAAAAGAGCGTGACTACATGATTGTGGTCTAAATTGTCGGCAGCCTCGTGGCAGGAAACGTGATCTCCGCGCAAAAAGCAAGCCAACAGGTGCCCTCGTTTTCATCTTCGCTCAGTTTTCAGGCGGTATGAAGATATGCTAGCTTGTGCACTGACAAGCCAAGCTCACGAGAAGAGGGAACCAACGTCACATTTGTTTATAAGCGGTATATTGTACTACAAACTCTCGATTTTATCTCAATGTTTTGTGATAGATGTAGAACGCGCGGATGCCCTTCGCGGTCGCCACTCGGTTTTGTTTTGGATAGTGTATACGAAAAGTTTTCGTAAATAGGAACCCAATAACAGCTCCACAACAACCTCCCACACAAGACGAGTCGATGACCAAAGTTGGGTTCCTTGTCCAACTTCCTAGCGTTCGGCGACGCTCGTTTCTTGCTTCGGCTCGGTCACCAGTGGACTGATCTACATGCATTACAGCCCAAAAGTGACTCTACTGGCAGGTTATGTCAATGAAGTTGTCAGATCCAGACCTAGTTAATATTACACTTTAAAATGTGGTATTGTTCGTGTTTGAAAGTATCGCCCTCCCTGTAGTAAAGGGAAATTTATTCACCCGTTCATTGAACCGGACTGATATGTCGAAGAGACCTTGGAAAAGGATTGATCACTACATGTCCCATTTAACTTACCTATTGACTGCAAGCAGAAACATGAAACAGCTATTATTTCACAACTTCTGAAGTGCTCAAAACGCAGAGAAACCATACAGAGTGCCCAGATCTAACGTGACTCGATCGGCGAAGAGCAGACGTGAGAGATTGCATGTCGGGAATGATCTTGATCTGCATCATAATTTGTGCATTTTCGATCATCGCTCGATTACAGATCACGTGAGGGATAGGTGAGGTTGTCTAGGCAATTTAGCCCTTAACTTTTCACAGTTAACTTTTATGTAAATGCGAGAAAGGCTGTTTGCAAATTGGCGATGGTTTAATCTTTTTTTTTTTTTTTTTTACAAAATATTCCCAGGTGGAGGCCGGTTGATTTCTACCGCTCTCCCGAGGTCCAGTCTGAAACTGTTAAAGAAGAGACAATGTCGCAATTTCCCGGACGGCAGCTTGATGGTCAATTTACCTGCATATTTAGTGTACGGTCACACAGTACAGTCACACAGTTTTGACACACGTAACGAAAGAAGAATAATGTGAAGTGCCAAGGTGACTACTGAGTCATTACAGACGCATAACACGGCCAGCTCATAGCAAGCGAAAAGACAACAGGTGGCCTCGTTTTCATCTTCGCTCAGTTTTCAGGCAGTATGAGGATATGCTAGCTGGTGCACTGACAGGCCAAGCTCACGAGAAGAGGGAACCAACGTGACATTTGTTTATAAGCGGTATATTGTGCTACAAACACTCGATTTTATCTCAATGTTTTGTGATAGATGTAGAACGCGCGGATGCCCTTCGAAGTCGCCGCTCAATTTTGTTGGGGATAGTGTATTGCTTGGTTTCAGTGTCACACAATTCAAAATAGATCAAAATAAAAATCAAAACCGGTCAATAGATAAAGTCCAGAATCCGGGAAATGAAAGAAGGTAAATATGCAA